GGGCTCCTGGGGGCGGGCAGCCCCCTGCCCTTCCCGTCGCTTCCAGGGACAAGTGAGTGCGGGGCCGGGAGTGGGCCAGGGCAGGACTGGAAAGGGGCGCGGGGAAGTCGGGAGGCATCGGGGTCAGAAGGAGACCCTGGGAGCCCCCAACCAGAGCACGGCCGGCCCTGGTCTGCGGTCCTGGGCGAGGGCCGGCGACTGGGCGATGGAGAGGAGAGGAAAGGAGGGTCACCCTCGGACTTCCAGGGACAAGTGAGTGCGGGGCCGGGAGTGGGCCAGGGCAGGACTGGAAAGGGGCGCGGGGAAGTCGGGAGGCATCGGGGTCAGAAGGAGACCCTGGGAGCCCCCAACCAGAGCACGGCCGGCCCTGGTCTGCGGTCCTGGGCGAGGGCCGGCGACTGGGCGATGGAGAGGAGAGGAAAGGAGGGTCACCCTCGGACACTCTTGGGCGCTGGTTCCAGCTCCCGGGGCCTGGCGCGGCGCCCCGCCCCTCCGGGAGTGGGTCACTGCGCCCCAGGACTGAGGCCTCGCTCCTTTGGGGCCTGGCCGGCCGTTTCACCAGTGCCAGGGTGCCCAGTGGACAAGCTCGTAGGGTTGGCGAAGAGGATTCTTGCCGCCACCTTCTAGGCCTGAACGGCCAGGCACCTCGCACTCTGGTGCTGATGCCACCAGAAACCTGGCTGAGCTGGCGGGGGCCCGGGAGACGCCAAAAGAGGGGAGAATTGGCCAGGAAAGAGGCTGGGACACCAGCTCCTCCTTGGAACTTTCACTTCCTGCTGCGGTCTTGGGCCGGGGGCCGAGCAGGCAGGCGAGGGTGGAGTGTCCGGAGGAGAGAGGGCCATTGTGTGAGGGGGGGGACCCAGGGAGGAAGCAGAGGCTGTGGGGAGCGGGTGTGCCTAACTGGGCATGAGGGGTGTTTGGGGAGGGCATGGTGGTGTTTGCACTGCTCACCCAGAAATGGGCGTTCCCAGCATCTCCGACGTGAGAAAAGGGGAGGGTGAGTGGGCACCCAGCCACAAGGCTTCCCTCAGTCCTCGTAGGGGGCGTTGCTTGGGGGGGATGGAGATTGGGTGGGAGTGGGAGGAGAGAGGGCCCCTATGAGAACCTGGGATTGGCCTGAGGGCGAGAGGGAGGAGCCACAGGCTGGGCTAGCTCAATTTCTTTGGGGATTTGGGGATGTTGGTGGAACGAAGGCCCACTATTGGAGGAAGCCCCCACCCCCAGTATTCTCCTTTAAGTCCCAGCACGCAGTTCAGGAGCCCTTCAGGCAGAGAAGGGGCCTTGAAGTACTTGGGAACCAGGGGGTCCGAGGGCACCAGCTGGTGCTGAGTCTCTCAGCATGCTCTTGGGGTACTCTGGGGACCCTGCAGGTGGCACCAAGGAGGAGCAGGCAATTCCAGAGAAGACCCCGAGTGGGCCCTTGGGACCCCAGATCCTTCAGGACAACCTCACACTCAGCCTAGCAGAGGTGCTTCAGGTGAGCCTCTCCGTACCCTCAAATAAAGTACCACCCTGTCACCCCCCAGTCAGGTGTCTCAAGATGAAGCTTGGCTGAAGAGCAGGTGAGTGGACCTCACTGTGGCTCGGCCCCCCCAGGTCCGGCTGCCTCTCCCATCACACCCCAGCACCCGGCTCCATTTAGGTCCCTCCCCCTTCTCCACCCATCTGCCTCAGCCCCACCCAGCCCATCCATGGCCACTGGGAAATCCTGAGGTCAAACTTGATTTATTGGTCTCATTTGTTGGTTTTCTCCATGGAGGGATTTGGAAAGAGAGTCAGGACCTCACCCAATGCCCTCCCCTTACCCCCAATTCTAAAGCTGAGTCAGAGGAAGGGCTGGGGCCTGCACTGAGTCCTCCACGATGCTTCCTCTCTGGGCAGGAAGCCGAGAAGGGGGCGGCTCAAGATACCTTCTTTGACCTCCCAGCACAACCCCCCAGAACAATGCCCCAGGCCAGACAGGCCTTCCTGACCCCTCCCTTGGGACAGCCCCCCCAATCAGTGATGTAATCATCGGTGCTCTCCTAAGGGCCTGGCACTTTCTGGTCAGGGAGAATAGGAATTTGGGGCAGGGCCAGGGCGGTGACCTGCTCTCTGGTGCCCACAGACCAGCCTGCCTGAGACTTTACGGATCAAATTGGAATTGGATGGTGAGAGTCATATCCTGGAGCTGCTACAGAATAGGTAAAGGCCGGGGTACTAATAATAATAATAACAATAACATGGCTAACAACTTATATGGCATTTACTGTGTGTTAGGTACTAAGTGCTTGAATCCATATAATCCTCATAACCACCCTACAAGTAGATACAAGTAATGTGTTATTACTGTCCTCGTTTTATACATAAAGAAGTCAAGGCACAGAGAGGTTACATAACTTGCCCAGGGTCACACAGCTAGTGTGTGGTGAAATCCAGGTTGGAAGCCGGAAAGCCTGGCAGAATTTGTGGCCCAACCACTACGCTCTGCTGCCTCAGGGGGGAAGCAGGAAGGATGGGGCAATGCCTGGCACCCCGTTAACCCTCTGTCACCTTCAGGCCGCAGGCTGGCCCTGCAGCACCCTGGGAGAGAGCTGACACTGCTCTCCTTTGTCTTCACAGGGAGCTAGTGCCAGGCCACCCAACCCTGGTGTGGTACCAACCTGATGGTACCAGGGTAGTCAGTGAGGGACACACTCTGGTGAGTCGGGCCCTCTTGTGCCCTGTTTCTGGCCTGAGGAAAGGAGGGAGGGGGCAGCTGGGGAGGGGGCCATCCCTGGAGGATGTGGGAAGATGCTACATCTTAACCAACAGGCAAGTCTCCTGGGCTGAAACCCTGGCCTACCCGGCAAACGGGCGCTCTGTTCTGTGCTGTAGGAGAACTGCTGCTACCAGGGCGGAGTGCAGGGCCATGCAGACTCCTGGGCCTCCGTCTGCACCTGCTCCGGGCTCAGGTACAGTGGGTAGAGTCCACAGAGGTGGGGAGATGGCAGGGCATGAGGCATGGAGCTGAAAAGTTGTCTGACTTCCTGTCTCTTTCCCTAGGGGCTTGGTGATCCTGTCCCCAGAGAAAAGCTATACCCTGGAGCTGAGGCCTGGGGACCTTCAGGGTCCTCCCATGGTCTCCCGGATCCAGGATCTCCCCATGCCGGGCCACACTTGCACCCTGAGCTGGCGTGAACCGATGTCCACTCAGGCTCCACCAGAGCGCCCCCTGGGACAGCATCATATCCGCCGGGTAAGGAGGAATGGCAGGAGGGCTGGCCCCGGGACCCTCAGAGCAATTTGTCCACAGTAACAACAGCTCCTGCTAATGGAGCAATTTCCACGTGCCAGACACTTTATGAACATTATCTCCTTTACTCTTCCCGGCAACCCTGGGAGGTGGGTGCTATTGATAGCTCTATTTTAGTGAGAGATTAAATGACTTGCCCAAGGCCATTCAACTAATAAGTGGTATATCAAGGATTTAGATGTATGTACTAGACTCCAACTCCTCGTGTCTTATGATCCCATATGTAGAGAGCTCACTTGGATATAGAAAATACATAGTTACCAATAATAAAGCAATAAAACCTGAGTTTCCTAATTTGTAAAATGGAGATAATAAAACTACGGATCTTACAGGGTTGCTATGAAAATTAAGTGACTCAATATGTAAGTAAAGTGCTTAGAACTGTGCCTGACATATGGTATTTGATGGTGTTGGCTATTATTATTATTATTATTATTATTATTATTA